CACAATCCTCGTTGTGAAGCAGGTCCAGTACGAGCCCTCAGAGTTGTGACCGGAATGTCGAGGCCCGCAAGCCAAATTACCGCTCAACTAGTCGTAGAATCAGACTCAGGATCTCAAAGAGGCTTGCCGTGTCGCGGGTCGTAGATCGTAGACGGGGCCCGAGCTTCGGCGTCACCATCGGGCAAGTATGGCTTGCCGCGCAGGAGTCTGTTGTAAGCCCCTGTTTGCAAAACATAGCGAAACGTGGGCTTCCGAACATTCACGAGCAGGATCGACAGCGTTTGGAGCAGCTGCACCCGAACTCGGTCCAGGGTTTCGAACGCCAGGAGGCCGTCGACAAGCATGTCGACCCCCAAAGAAGCCGGCGACCAAAGCCAAAGCAAGACGACAATGAAGCGCTGCTGTCGGTTGCCTTGCAGGGCCTGTCCTGCCCTCAGCTCCAGCCGAAACAGGGTGATGACTCGCATCGCCAATGCCAACATCACCAGTTGCACGTGCGAGCGCAAAAAGAGAGGTGATGATGTCCTCCGGTCTGCCACGAATGCGGTCAAGCCCGCCAAACACCCTCCCACGGACTTTCCGTGCGAAGCAGGCAGTTGACACCGGACCCCTCTCATCTGCAGGAAGCCGTCGCAAGCCGCCTGCCTCACGGGCAGCTCGAGGTCCTCGAAGAGGCATGTGGGCAAGGTCCGCTAGACTGCCGGCCCAGGCCAACCGCCCTAGTCGGCTGCCTCGTGCCTGCGGCGAAGCGCCGCCCCGCCACGAGCGGATGGTCACACTCAGCTCCTGAAGGATTGCGGCCTGAGTGCTGGCTGGGTCTTCACCCGTGCGAGCCGCCACAGCCTTCGCCACATTTTTGAGCACTGTCATCGCGCTTTTGTCCCACGTCCCGGTGGTCTCGGCCACCATGGGTACGAAGGACACTCCTTGGTGCTCGCAAGATCTGGCAGTGTCAAGGTGGCTTTCCTTGTGACGAGCATATGCTGCGGCAGCTGCACCAGTTGCCCTCCCAGCCATGGCCAAAGTCTCCTGCCGCTGCGGCGCCGTGATGGCGAAATCAAGTGCAGCAGGGGACCCGGACAGAGCCGGAAGATAAACATCAGCAGGTCGTCTTCGGGCGGACTGTGTGTCGTCGGGGCACTGCGGTAAGAGCAGGCCGGTGCGCTCTTTCTCGGGGCGGAGTCCAGCTCGCTCAGTCCAGGCAAAGACTAAGTCTCGGACAGCATTATGTCGCTGTGTTCGCTCGCCCCCCGCAACACACATTCCAGCATGATGTCCATGGCAGTCCAGGACTCCGTCGCACCGAGGGCACCAAGCGTCAGCGGCAGCTTCAGGAACGCGTAGCCGGACACGAAGCTCGGCAATGAAGATGGCCGGCTCCATCCGAGTTCGCCCCGCCGGCAAGGCCGAGAGAAAGGCCCGAGCTCCAGCGCCGGCCTCGGAGAAAAGGGTGGCTCTAGCTGTCGG